GAAATACGGTTGTCTTATATTTTCAATTTACTTTTAATTACATATTATTTACGTAAATAAACATGTGACGAAATTGATTTTATTATTTTATGAAGGTTTGCATGATTATGTCTGTTATTGTATTGTGTATTTTTTCTGGCACTTTAGGTAGAAGGGAACTGACAAGTCTTAGAGTATTGTCAGGTTAGTTGTCATATCAACCTATGTTTCTCCTTTGTGAAATAAGGGGGGGGGGGGGTATTTGGTGAAGAACATGGTGAAAACATAACATGAAAATGTATCCAGTGGCGTGCAATGTTCGTTTAATTTGTTGGCACTACATATTAGGCTCGTTCACATGTAACAATTTGTTCGATTTGGATCGCGGTGCAAATTTTGATACAGCGCCCGGCAAACTATCGCGATTATTCTGAAAAATAGCAAGAATTACTGCGAATTAGATCGCAATGATAATCGCGAAGAATAGTGAAATTGTTCTGCCTAGACACCGTATGCAAAAAAGAACCCCCAAAACCCAAACCGATTTTTGGATCGCGATGCAAATTCGATTTTTAAATCTCACTTTGTTTCTGTAAGTGTGAACTCCCCTTAGTGTGTCAATGAACACAAAAAAAACACATATCAAGAAGCAAAGAGAGTGAGAAAGAGAAGGATAGAGAGAGAGAGAGGGAGAGAGAAAGAGAGAGAAGGGTGAAGAAGATGGAAAGGAAGTGAATATTGAGAAGATCAGTATGGTTTTGTGTTACATATCGTGGTGTGTGTGTGTGTGCGTGTGTGTGTGCGTGTGAGAGAAAGGGGGAGGGGGAATCAGATTGAGAATTACAGTAGAATAGGAAGGAGACCAACCTTTATTAAAATAAAATTAAATACAACACTAATTCAGCTAGAAATGTTAAAATTCGCCTGTAGATTGTCAGTAATAATATGATTTTCATTCCATTCCTTTATTATCATGTTAACAATTGATCCGTAATGCAACTGTGATGTCATCTTTCGCATCAGTTATTTGTCAGGTAGATAAATAATTCCATATCGTTGGATGAAAACAAGTCTATAGTGAAAATAAGTTAATGTTCTACAATGCAAACCAAAAGGCATGCAGGGAGGAGCGTGAAGGGAGTGGATGGAATTATTGACACCCCCCCCCCTTTCAATAGCAATTATTCATAAACTGAAGACTTTCATTTCACATTCATATCAAAATATCAAACAAAATCAGATAATACATTAGGAAGTCTAAACAAAGGTTTACCAGTCTCTTTCGTAGTTCAGAAGCAAATACAAAACTAAAACGATTTATAAACTGTCCACAAAGCGTCTATTTCGAAATGTTCGCTATGTTTTAATAAAAAGATCGATGTTAATGGCAACATGCTTGTGAGGGGGGGGGGGGGGGGGGTGGGGGGTGTAAGATGACACGTTTTTGTTTTTTTTTGGTCTCGAAATTTGACATTTTGCTCCGTTGGGGGGGGGGAATTGTTTTAATATTTATTAATAAAAAAAAAAAAAAAATTAAAAAAAAACACAAAGGGAGGTGTTTTGCTCAAAAATACACACATAACAAAAACTGAAGGGGGTTCACCCCCCCCCCTGCGTACGCGCCTGCAGGCCCCCCCCCCCCCTCCCCTGGCCAAAAAAATGTTTCAACAAGATGGTAACACAAGTTTACCTTCTTTTTTTGCTCTAGGGGGTGCCGGGGAGAGGGGGGGGGGGGTGTTCGTGTAAAAAAAAAAGGGGGGGAAGCGATTTTCAAATTTCCATTGAGAAAACAACAATTGTGCTCGTCGCCCCCCACCCTCCCCCTTTCCCGTTGAGCGAAAATAACGCTGTGCGCGATTTTCAAATTTCCATTGAGCAAAAGAAGAAAAAAAAGTAGTGCTCACTACTGTACTGGGGTGCAACAAATTCAAGATGCAAGATATCCCCAAAAGTTTATAATATCTCAAGTATAATTTATGTGGCAATACTTAAAATGATACACAAATCAGTGGGTATTGAAGATAACTCGCTTTAAAACATCTTCAAATTGCTACATTAGCTCTTCAAAATAAAAATAAAATATGTCAGATAACAACGAGGGAGAAACATGATTGTGACGTTCATCGAAACTACATCACTTGGCTTCTTAATTATAAAACGTACCAGTGCTCATCATTTAAAAACAAAATAATGGTTGTAGCACAAAGTTCATCTGATGTTTTCTTTTTATGTTTCAATTAAAAAATAACTTGATAGAACTGACGTTTGGACAAGAAAATATTGACTCGATTTGGACTATGTAGGTCTTTACAGTGTTACTAAGGAGCCCGAGAAAACGGGTGAATACGTGAATATACAACTGTGAGGCTATCGAATAGCTAGCAAATTAAAGTGACCTGACAAAACAAGGGAATAGGAACATTAATAGAATGGCGCTCATCAGTTGGGCTACACATCTTATTTCTCAATAAATGATTATAAATAAAACATATGCAGCTGGATAGGCAGTAATATCTTGAATCCTCAGTTTGTCACTCCCAGAAAGATATGACGACTGCTGTCCGTATTTAATGTATTATATAATAACGTTTTATTTGCCCAGGGTAGCCACTTCAGCTATGAAACTGCCAGGGGGCCCTGCATAACATTATGTTATTACTACCCTTCTCCAATCTAATATGCTGAGCGCCTAGCTAGAAGGCAGAAGGTCCCATTGATATGAGTCTTTGATATGACTCGGCCGGGGTTCGAACCCACGATCTCCCGTTCATGAGGCGGGCGCTCTAACCACTAAGCCACCATGCCCGGTAATTGGTAATCAAAGCAGAATGGGGCTCAATAAAAATATCATAAACATGACAAATCAAAATAGAGGCACACTAAATAACAATATGTAGCTTTGGTACAACACATCCATATCATTAAAATGTTTATGGTTAAATGGGTAGAACAAGATGACAGTCAACAACGAATTTCCATCCAAAATCGGGAGGTAGAAATAAGTGTGTACTTACTCAATGATAGCAAAAGCGGGAATGAGCGGGAAGATGGTCTCGCATCAGGAGAGCCTTTTGTCGAGGTTTCTCTGGCGTTGTATTCTTACCGGTAATCTGTTGGTATTTCAATAGCCATGTTTAGAAACGGGTTTAGGTCAAGATAAGCTTTCCCTTTTTTAGAGCTAGTCTGAACTATTTCGAAGTTCAAAAGCCTCTTTATATCGACACGTCTCTAATAGACACCATTCTTTTGTCATCTACAAAGGGAATGTATGCAATTAGATCATTGTACAGTTCATTAGACGATGCTGGGATGGTTTAGTCTAAGCAAGGAGTTTTAAGAGATGGCATCTAGCTCATTCCTTTTGTACCATCTTCGATGTCACCAGGATAAAATATGTCAGGAATGTGCTTAACTGAATCTTTATGCAGATAAATTATTAGGGAACAAAGACGATTCGTTGTACCATTCTCGACTTTTAATCCTTGTCTGAATTCAGTTTCCGCCCCTCCCGCGCGAAGCGCCGAAGCTTCGACGTTTCATTAAATTGAGAGAGATAGAAGACGATTCGTTGTACCGCTCTGGACTCTTAACCCTTGTCTGAATTAAGTTCCCCAACCGCGCGAAGCATGGAAGCTTTGACGTATCATTAAAGTATTAGAGAAAGAAGGCGCTTCGTTGTACCGTTGTCGACTCTTATTCCTTGTCTGAATTCAGTTTCCGCCCCTCCCGCGCGAAGCGCCGAAGCTTCGACGTTTCATTACATTATTAGAGAAAGAAGGCGCTTCGTTGTACCGTTGTCGACTCTTAATCCTTGGCTGAATTCTATTTTCCCCTCCCGCGCGAAGCACGGAAGCTTCGACGTTTCATTAAATTGAGAGAGATAGAAGACGATTCGTTGTACCGCTCTGGACTCTTAACCCTTGTCTGAATTAAGCTTCGACGTTTCATTAAATTATAAGAAATAGAAGACGATTCGTTGTACCGCTCTCGACTGTTAATCCTTGTCTGAATAATAATAATAACAATATTTATAAAGCGCAACTTATCCATCTCAGTCTAGAGATGCTCAAGGCGCATACAAATAATTCAAATTAATATTCAACATACTTAAGATTAAAGAAATATTAAATATTAATTGAACTCAGTCCCCCCCCCCCTCCCCCCCCTCGTGCAAAGCGCAAAGCTTCTACGTTTTATTAAATTATAAGAGATAAAAGACGATTCGCTGTACCGTTCTCGACTCTTAATCCTTGTCTGATATGGTGATCGAGTTTCCATATTTCGTTTGATACAGATGGTTTTACAGTTTATTTTAAGTATATACTATCGGTCAATTCAAACAATAACATTAGAACGTATACTTTTAGTGAAATTTAAAAAGAGATTACATATCTGTCTGTGTTTGAGAGATACCATAAAATAAAATAATAATGATAAAAATCGAAGTTTATTGCCTATTCACAAGACTACTCGGTCTTACTGCTAATATTTGTTTTTCCTTCATTATTTTATTGAAACTTTCTGCTAATAAATATTCTTCCTAATTCAGAGATCACTTTGTTACAGAAAGTTGTCCCCTTAGAAAATACAAATTTTGGAAGTCAATAATATGGACTAAATAAAATAGAGGGGGAAAATAGGATAAGGAAGTAGCTAGGAATGGAAACCATTTTTGTTGGGGGGGGGGGGGCGTTGTGAAGCGATCGCTCGTCCACAAGACTACTCTGCCTCAATGCTAGAAACGCGTGTTACTTCTTTAACACACGTTTCAGTGGGATGTCCAATAAATCATATTTACGACGGTTTCGAAAAACGGCCCGTATGTACCCGTCTATTCCCCAAAACAAAATTCAGCAATTGATCGAACGATTTGTGCGATAGATAATGATCAATGCAATCATTCGTCCGGGGCCCAATACTTTTGACCAATCACGCGAGAAGGCGAAGACATAATATGACGTCATCTGACTGCAACAGGTGCATGCACTACCATCGTATAACACTGTGCATGTGAAGGATCATTCAGTGGACTCACACGCACACTTGCCCATGCACATGTCTTGAGTCGAGAGGTAACGGGACTGGATTGTTGGCTTCGAGATTGGTGTTTGGATGTACAGGAAGAGTTTAATCATACATCGGTGATGAGAGTAAATTAACGTTATAAGATCAAAGAGTCTTTGGATGTTTTAGCTGCGATTGGATTGTATTTGAATCGTATCATCACAATGGCTGTTGCTGACGGACTAGCCTCCCTGAGGTTAAGGCTTGCCGTCGTATGGCTTCTCGCTGGTGTACTGAGTGTTGCAGGTGTGTATGAATCCGGGCTATCTACGCTGACTGTATAGCAACACTACACGAATTACTAGTATACGTTGTACGATTGGGGGACAATGATGTTTGCATGCATTATAATTGTATGGCTATGCAATAAACGCCTATGGATTCATGAATGATTTGAAATATGCAGCAGTTTTTTAAAAATGATTTCACTCTTCAATTACTTGCGTACCTCAATTCTATAGACTAGACTATATCACCAATCATAATACTTGTGACCAAAATGAGAAAAAGGATTGTCGTCATTAAGACAACTATGGACTACAGAGAAAGTCCGGAAGAATCTAAAAACAGTTATCTGTTGCACAGCTCTTTCACTGTTCCTACCCACCCCTCCCCCTCTCTCCCCCTCTCCCCCTCTCCCTACTCTCGATCTCCCCCTCTCCCTCTCTCCCCCTCTCCATCTCTCTCTCTCCACCAATGTGCTTTAAATATTTAGTACTTACCTTACTAAATAAGTGAATACAAAGATAATAAACGAAGATATGATTCACCACCAATTTATTTGGAAATGGTATGCTAGTTGCATTATTTCAATATTGACTTGGTGTAGCTTATACTGCATTTGGTATAATGTAATTTAGGTTATTATTGACATCGTATCTTAATAGAGTGCTGTCGTTTTGCATACTCTAGACTTTTTCACCAGGTGATAAAGTTTCCTCCTGACAAAATTCAGGAGGACGGATGAGTCTGCTTGTGCATTGTTGCCAAAAATATTTATTTGTAAAACTGGGGATGAAATCATGCAGTTGTCCTCTAGATATAGTTTTTTTCTTTCGGACAATAGATCAACTTCACATCTCTTCTTCAAATTAAGTCAAACTAGGACCTAGCCCCAGGGGCATGCAGATCAATGGTTCCCTACAGGGGTCGGGGAGAGATGCTTGAGTATGAAAAAATGAAGAAAAGAACAACACAAAACTAAGCAAAATCATTCTCTATCATGTATATAGGTGGTTATTTTGTTACTCCTTCATTCTCTGACAAGTAAACAGAAATAGTCAAAAAGAGAAAGAGAAAATAAACCTTTTTATGTTCTTACAACTCCTGCCAGGTTTGCAGGGGGCAGATACATGTAGGGGACATATTTTGTTGTAATAACTGTGTATGTAAGGCTGGTTCGTCAGGATCTGGGATGCAGGTGCCCCCTGGTTCTGACATATGGCATTAGAAGGGAGATTAGAGAAAGGAACTGAGAATGTGTTTTACCTGTGCAAACTTCTCCAGGCCTCTGTGACAAGGTCTGAGTCATGTTCTCAAACCGGAGGATATGATAAGATTATGATACTCACAAGAATCAAATTGTATTCTCAGGACCTCCCAAGGCTAGAGAGGGCTCAACAAAGGCGTGCTTAAAGAGACAATTGAGTTCTGGTTAAAGGAGCTAAACAAAGAAAATTCACTAGCAACTCATAATTATAACAAATGACATATGGATGGAAAGATTTTCTCTTGAAAAACACGAACAATTTGCTGAGAAATCATATAGATATCATGGAAAGGCGTAAAATGAAATTTTTTCAACACCCTCCTTTGACCCCCGAACGCCCCTGAACGAAAGTCAAACACACAAGCGTAGCGAGCTCTGAATTGTGACGTCATACACTGGACGAACAGCTCAGTGCCGTGTAGCAGTATGCAGCTAGCCAGCCGCGTCCCGTATGTGACGTCACTAATATGACACTCTACAAAGGACCGCTGAAGGCAGAAAATCTGGATCTCAAAAACTAACATTTTTGAGAGTTGATTACTGCGGGCCTAAAACATATTTTGAAGAGAAGAGTTGTTGTATTTGATCGGCAAGGCTTTCCCTTCGCAATGATATGAGTTTTGCATCAATTCAAAACACTTTTGATTCTTTGTGTGGCTACTTTAAGATTGAAAATAAAGAGTGAGCTTTTAATTCATTTTTATTGTTAACTTTCATATTAAGGGCTCTACGCTAACAGGCGCCCGGGACTCATGGGTGCAGAAAATCTAGGTCTGGACCCCTACAAGTTATGATTTTTTTACATAGGACTTGTGCATAAAGACATTTTTTTAAAAAATGGACATCCTTTCCAAAAAGTTAAAAGAGAAAATTGAATTTTGGGCAAGATTAAAGAGAAGTGTGAGCATTTCTAATTCCTTTTGATGTTTTATGCTCATATTCAGGGATCCACACTAACAAGTACCCAGGACACCAACCTATGATTTTTAAATTTTTGCATTAAGGGCTCATGTATGTCTATGTAAAAAAATAATGAACCCCCATTCCAACTGGTTAGTGTGGAGCCCTGTCATATTTTGTAATTGAAGGCTGTCATTGTAGCACATGCCCCCAAAATATTGAGATAATATTATCAAACTATGGTCTCCATGTTGCCAAGCCACATGTGTGTATATAATACCCATATCTACAAGGATTTAGGAGAAATAGAATTGCTCTTTAATTATGGTGTACCCCTTTGATATCCAAAATCGCCTGCTGAGAACAATTCAGGGTGCTAACTTTAATAGTTTTTTTACAAAGTTAATGCCCTAGCTTCTGGCTCCCAACATACAAAGTATAAAGCTGAAAATAGATTGAACATGTGGACCACAGTTGGTGTCACAAATGTGCTTTAATAATTGTCTCATGCTTTTCACACGTATGTGATTTCCTTCATGGTGTACCATTTGCTAACATTTTATCGTTCCAATACTTTACGAAGTCATGCATTCTTCCTCGTTATTTAGTATTTGAAGTAGTGCTGTAGTCAAACGTTTAACCATCCGTTATCCGACCATCCATGGCACTATCCGTTTTCATTTGAACGGTTTTGTTTTCCCGTTTTTTTTTAAATAATTTTTTTTAAGTAGGAAAATCAAAAGATATGACATTATCAACAAAAAATGCCCATAATTAGAAACAAAATCACTGAACAAAAACAAGTTTGGGTGACATTTTAAGTCAGCCCTGACTGTTGAATGTTGTTGCAGAGCAACAATCTACATGATAACAATCAATTGCAAGATTGTAGATTGAGAAGTTTCTGTTTTTGTTCAGTGATTTTGTTTCTAATTATGTACATTCTTTGTAAATAATGTGACTTCTTTAGATTTTCCTGTTAAAACACAAATTTAAAAAAATATTAAAAATTAAAAATTATTAAATTAAAAAAAAAAAAAATTGTTTAACCAAAAAACCGTCTGGTTTTGACTGGCGGTTCGAGGGATCGTTTAACAATGTTAAATCTGAGATGCACGGTCCTACATGTTACCAGTGTCTGTGATATGGTGTAATATTGAAGCCCTAAAAAAAATTGCGCTTCAAAATGATCAAGAAGTGCCTCAAAAAAGTAAAAAATCTTTGAGTGACCTGTTTTACCATACTCGTTTTCCCCAATAGACTGTAGTGTTATGAAAATCGTTCAGTGAACGGTTTTCAAAATGTGTAATTTCAATCATTAATATCTTGATAATCAGACAGGCGATTGGCTTGTAAAAGTTATGGAGTTCCTGACTGACCTAAAGGTTTATAATTATCATTGCAGCATGAGCTAAATCAAGGATTATTTGTAAAGGATCTAAGACAAAGTTACCGGATCCCTTTAAACGGAATTGGAGATATCCGTGATGTTACAACACTTATTTGAAGTGCAGCAGCAGCAGTACATGGTGACTCCTTGAAGTAAGACTAATTTTCCCAGGGACCAAGGCCTTCCTTTGAGCAGTCATCCATCAGTTGTTGGGGAACCTGTCTTACATGTAGACATACTTGAGAACTAATCATATTCTGTTACAAATGTAATGAGCTTGGGGGAGAATGGTAGGGTTTTAAATGATTGTATCTTGTGATGTGCCTAGTTTATAATGTTAAGCCATTGCATACTGTATTATGTCTTTTGGAAATAGAGAATTCAGTAGTCAACAGATTCAGTATGCCATACTGTTGAATATATGGTTCCTTGTAAGCTTAGAGAAAAGGTTGATTTCTGGTGAGAAGTGAAAAATTGTTTGTGAGCATTATCATTGTTATGCAAGTTTGGAAGAACATCAGAGAAAAATGTTCACTGAAAAGCATGGCTCTTCAAATGACCCCTATTCTAAATATGACAAGTAACAGCTTAAACATGAGGCCTGGTTTTTATGCCACATGCATGACAACATATTATGTAGAGAGAGAGAAGGGGGGGGGGGGGAGTATTGGGTGACATCAAAATGATTGTCTTGTTTGGAGCCGAGAAGCAGATGTAGAGGGAAAGCAAGCGAGAAGAGGAGATGGAGGGAGGGAGAAAGAGAGATGAGGAGAGAGAGAGAGAGAGAGAGTGGGTGGCAAGGGAGAAAGAGCTGCAAAAAAGATGACTTGTTTCAGATTCTTTTTGACTAGGTCATAGTTGTATAAAAGAAGGACAATAATTATGATCATATATGAAAAGTGTATATGATGCTTTTCTCCTTTGTTGACCTTTGGCTTTATTCTTATCACAAATTGATAATTTTGGTTGTCGATTTACCTCTTGTTTTTTATATTTAAAAAATGCATTAAAAATCATCACTTAAAATTGAAATTAAAATCAAACAAAGGATTTATTAATGTATCACATGGCAACAAAATAACAAGTCTTTAATATTTGTTGTATCTTTTGTCTTGTGCAGGTCTGCAGCTAGCTACACAATCCAGACAGGATCTCACAAGTCCAGAAGGAGCTAAGAACTTTGAGATGTCATGCCCTGTGACTGGGGCCGTAGGTCAACCTATCTTCACATGGCAATACTCACCAGCGATGCATCTCACACCGGGCAATAAGGTTGGTTATATTTATTGCATTTTTCATTTTACTTCTTTTCTTTGGCTGGAATGCTCCCCAGGGAGTGGAGAAAAGGCAAGGAGAAAAGCAGCCTAAGTATTACATATCTGACTCTCTTAATAATTACCCAGGTCTCTAAGACAGGAACAGGTTTCAAAAGTGCATTTTGGGGGAATCACAGGATCAAATTTTATTTATTTTACAGATGTTTAAACTCATCTTGAGGTCTGGCATAAGGAACTGTATAATGTCGAGAACATGGCTATAATTCATTCTGGATTGTTTATCCTGCAGTAGATTGATTGTTTGAACCAGTAAAATTAAAACAAACTCACAAAAACTCGCTGGAAGTCATCTTCAATTAAAACAAGAAATCTCATTTGCACATGTTACTCAGCCCCTATACGTTTTCTACCAAAATCGTTTTGGCACATGTCATTTATTTGTAATCTTGAACATTCAGTGTAAGTTTTGTTGGATTCTGTGAAATTTATTTTCTATCATGACCAGAACTCGAGCTTATCTTTAATGCAACTTGATTTAGATATGTGCCTGTTTTCTTTCCCTTCCCTGTCTTTTCAGATTGTACAATCAGCACGCCATAACTTCAGATCAGATTCACTCATCATTAATCAGATATCAAAGACAGATGCTGGTTTCTACACAGCGAGTGTTACTGATAATACCAGGAGGGTTGTCAGGTGTATGTTTCAGCTCACTGTTGGATGTAAGTACATCATTATGTACAAATATTCATTTTTAGCTTCACGTCATGGCATGCATTTACGTACCAGTTTTTATACAATTCAAATTCTAGAGATAAGGGGTCTCTGAAAGCCAATCTGTACTAGTTTGGTTAGGAGGGATTAAACCTCCCAGCATGGTCACTGACATGTGGTTATCTCATCAACTCAGGTCTCAATTAACATAAGAAAAAGAGGATCATGGGGGACCAATGATCACCGATTAGGCATTGTTTGCTATATAGAGGGAGCAAGTAGCTAAAAGTAGTGCAGTGTGGCTTTAGATTTTATGAAGAAGAGAAGTGTTTTTATCATTTCATTAATGAAATTATAAAGGTTATTATTCAATGATTCCTATGCCATTTACACTATTAGAAGAACCCATTGAAAAACTGTCAGTGTTTGATAATTGTGTGAGTTGTGCGCATGCGCTACTTGTCGTTGCTCTCCATGTGTTAGCACGGAAACAAGGAGACTCGTGTGACCGAATACCTCTAATAATTCAGCGATGTCTTGGAAGCAAGCATTTAAAATTTTAAAAACGTGAAGTTTTGGCAGCCCTTTAAATAGAAACACACTCCAGAGGTGGGTTTTTTTTTTATCCAGGTTTTTTGTTGTGTTTATTGGTAGATGCCTAGCAACTTCCGACCAAACTCTGGAACGTGAGGAAAAATGATAGTTTTGGGGTTGCAGCGTAAATGCCCCTGCTATCTACATGTACTTATATCAGTGTGTTTGCAAAGTGTGCATTGCTGACGATACACATGTCTGCCATTGTATGCTAATAATATTGCAAAACAGTTATATTTAGAAAGACAAAACAAAGAGTTGGTGATGTTATTTTCAGCAATGAAATAATCGTTGAGCCATTCTAAATCCTGGAGTTTAGTATGTACTTGTGTGGAGCCCTTAATATGGCATTATCCCACACTGGGCGAATCCTCAGCTATGTGGGAAATTAGATTTACCGCTTACAGGAAGAGGCACATTTAAGGCAATTTCAAAAAGTCACTTTTATATCACTTTTGATGTTAGGGGATTTTGTTTTCTTTGGAGGTATAAAGGAATGATAAACTTGATCCATTTTGAGAAAGGTAAGATATTCTTAAAAATCCAATGATTTGTTCTGCAACTGTATTACCTGGAAAATAGTTGATGAATACCGGTAGTCAAAGTCATTATTGTAATAATCACTTACAAAGTACCTTCAATATACCCTTCAAAGGGTGTGATGTCGACCTAGTGGTAAAATCCTTTAGTGAAAATTATTAAATCCCCTTATTCAGGGCTTCCCAAGTCCTCAAAAAAACTTATATCAAATTTGTCTGTACACCAGCAAGATAAGTTTATGAAGATGTTTGCAAAATTTAAGATCAAAAGACTCAAGTTGTCTCTTCATGAGTGAAAATCAAAGCCCATATTGTGTACACAATAAATATGGTGAATAAGACATTGACTGCCAGTTGCAAATTCAAATTTGAAAATAAAAATAGCTGTAATTTAGCTAATAATGAATATTTTGCCACCATTCTTTCAGAAAACTTGTCAATTGGCACTTTTACAAGTTTTGAAATTTTCCCCGTGCAAATCCCTGCAACCCTCATTAAGGACCCTCATTCATATGAAATATTACTGGCAAACTCCTTAAAGTGACAGTTATTGTTGCGTATTGTCAGTAACTGTAGTGATATGCTTTTTGTTATCAGAGGCCAAGTTCAATTGACTTTAAAGCTTATTAGAAATTGCCCCATACAAGATCCAACGTAAGAACCACTAATAGGGTCATTTCCTTAAATGGGATTAACATCCTCTTTGACAGGCATTATTCACCATTTTTACACATTTCCTTTAATCTTTACTCTTAATCGACTTGCAAGGTGTTGTCACACATAACAAGGATAAACTAGAATTTACTAGATATCCCAATGACACTGGATGACTTAAGGTCCTAGGCAGAGTACAAGGGCAGTAGCATTTGCACCCCTGCGTGGGGGTCAATCAATTAGATGACACCCCTCTCTGACTGACTCATATCACCCTTACTCACAGGGCTAGGAATAGTCATAAGGGGTACAGGTGGTGGAGGGAGGGTAAGGGGTAAAAGTGACAGTGATAGGAAATTCACCTCTTAGTGATCCTCTGCCTTTGGGGGCTCCTGGGGAATCAGGGGTTCACCTCTAACACCACAGAGAACAAAATACACGGGTCTTGAGGCGAAATTAGCCCCCCAAATGCCAAAAAGAGCCCCCAAAAGTCATAAAAGAGCCCCCCCAAATTTGCATAGAGTTCAATGCAAAACAAATTAAAGAGTGTTGTATTCATGCAAGCAAGCTTGAAAAGTAGCCCCCAAAATGTTTAAAGTATTTTTTCCCTGTAACACTATATTCATATACCATATGATACCTCACTGGTATCTATGTTCATCATCTCATAGAGAAGTCTGACATAAGCCATGGTCTATTTTCACAATTCACAAATTAGTTGAATTTCCTCTGGGACTAGGGGAGCAGAAGAGGAATTGGGATTTAATGAGTTCACGTTGGTTTGTTCATGCGATGTCATTGACAATTAGGGCATTAACATCTTTTTAAAACCACGTGCTGTAATGGGATTTGAAGATTTCTTGCTAACCGGACTATGTTTTGAAAATAGCCATTTTGTTAGAAGAAAAGTGACTGAAACTTTCATGAATTAATAGAGACTTTTATATCATATCTAGTTAGCATATTCAAATTAACATCTAACTTCAAAATTCTTTTTGACATGGTTTACCCTTGGCTATTTTTCCCATTTAGTCAAAAGAGTTAAATACAAGTATCGCAGACCAAATTGAGGTGAAATTGGTACACTTGTATCTAATAGTCATGCCCAGAAGTTAACATATACAGTTATAGTTTCAGGGTGATGATCTCAACAATATGTAACATAATTTGTGTGACTGGGCCTCGGTAAGTTTAACTGAATCTGACATGAGAGGAAGGGCTCAGAAAGGGCAGGTTAAAGACATGTATACCAGACAAGCTTATATCACATCACACAGGCTTAAAGCCCCACTGCACTACTTAGAGCTACATGTACTTTCGCCCTCTATATAGCAAACAACGCCTAATGTGCCTGTTCGTCCCCCATGATCCTCATTTTCTTATGTTAATTGAGAGCTTATTTGATGAGATTACCACCTTTCAATGACCTTGCAGGGAGGTCTAATTCCCCCTGGCCAAACTAGTGCAGACAGGCTTGTGAGAAAGTTAAGAACTTGTTAAAGAAACTGTCTGGAAGCCACCAGGAAAGGTTGATTATTTAGTATAAAAGGATTGATGTTTACTTTTAGGTTAAGGATTATTTTTTTACTTGCACATCACTGTTTTACTGTATTTTGAAATTGTATACCCTTTTGTTGTCTGCACCTTCACCTGCTGTCACAACACATCCCATCCCAGTATAGTTTGGAAAAGCTGCTTCAGGGATTACCTCATCAAGTATCAAGTATCAAAATGAGAAAAAAATTTGATCCAGTCTTGATGGACATCATATTGACAGCATCCATACATGGGTATACTGTAACTAGACTATGGCATGAATTATTATGAGGGCATTTAAAGGGCATTCCTATTCAAGTAACATACCCTCCAGATCAAGGCTAACATTCATATAATGATAAAACTCGCATATAATTCGTCATCTCTAGAGGATACTCCAATCCTTCTCTTTAAAGAGAAATTCCACCTTGACATTGAGTTGGTTTTGATAGAAGCATAAAAATGAGAGAAACAAGTCAGTGAAAGATATGTCACAGTGTTGCCAAATTGTGTTTCATAGATCCCAACTTCAAAAATGTATAACTTTCATAATTTGTATCAGAATTTGCTGAAACTTTCACTGACCTGTTCATCTAATTTTTCTGCTTCTTTTAAAAACCAACTCAATATCAGGTTGTACTTCCCCTTTAAAGCCCTCTCAACTGCCAATATTCAAAGAGGATGAAGTAAATGAGTCTGATATATTCTTGGCTCCAGGAATGTCTATCCTCATTGTTACTCATGGCTGTGGTCTTTAGGAGAAATTGGATTTAAACTGAACAAGGGTAAAAATAGGTTGTAAAAATGTCATCAGTCGGGTTGCATTGTTGCCAATTTGCGAGATAAGTAAAAACATGCACAAAATGAATCATTTAGGTCTGCCAGTCAAACAACGAGATGTCTTAGGCGAGCTTGAAAAAGCTTACATTGAAGAAAAAGATTTTCATGGACAAAGACAAAACTAAAATTTCAAACAAGATTGTCAGCAGTATATGTGAAATGTGATTTAGGCAATGGATGGATTTATGTTTAGGCAAATTTCTAGATCACTTCTAGCCAAATTATTTTAAAGATTATTAGCAGTATTCTATATCAACATTATTGTAAAAGACATTTGCGTTATGTATGCTTATGTTACCTGCTTTACAGTGACTATTTCCGAAAGGACATCATACAAGCATGGTTACTTTCCAACTGGTTTGATTATGTAAGAAGAGAAAAGTGAATGGAATTTATTAACCCAAATTGAGGACTGCTCTTCAGCCTTCACCCTTGATACATTCTGATTCACAAAATGCTATCTTTCTTTTAGAAAAGTAATTCCATTTTGTTAAATAAGCTTATTGAATACTTGTCTGTTTCATTATAATAATGATAATAATAGGCATTTATATAGCGCCGTCTATCTAGACATTTCTATTCCGAGGCGGACAAGAAAAATAGAAAGAATGAGAGAGTTTGGATGAGTGTCAGAGTGCCAAGTACAGGTATTGTTAAAAAAGATTAAATTTCTGCTTGGATTTGAAGGTCTTTAAGGAAGTTATGATTCTCAAATTAAATGGTAAATTATTCCAAAGAGAAGGTGCTGCAGCTGAAAAAGCCCTGTGACTTTCTTGTGCTCATTTAATGAGACACAGAATGTTTCTTTTGTTTTGTCCTTTAGTAAAGGAAATTTGCACAAAACATTTGAATAGAGTTTTAATCCATTTGTATACAAGCTGTTGATGACAGTTATAAAGCATGAATCATCATTCCCAGGCAAAGTCTTGTCAATCCATTAAATGGGGCGAGATTTGTTTCCTCTACTTCCCTTCTTTGACTGCAAGGACAATATGAAACATTGACTAAATCTGTCAAAGTTAGTCACAATATGAGCCCCCTGGTAATACAGGGGGCCTAACCAGTGATTAATCTCATTGTTCTTATAATTGGTACTCTGGCTTACTAAGTACTAAGTAGTCTGTTAAAAAAAACTTAGATATACAAATGAACTATGACAAGATGAATATTCACATATTTCATTTAAATTTTTGATTTGATCAATTTCAGTAAAAAAAACAGGCTTGTCACAGTAGAAACAATATTTAGGGGTTTCTTTTTACATTTACAAAGGCTTTGTATTATTGGTATTTTGAATATTTTATTATCATTTTTATTTTTATTATTATCATGATTAATATCATTTTTTTTTTTATTATCATCATCCTCATTCTCATGTAAAAGTAATATAAGTTCTCAACTATCCATTTCTTTCTTGTATCCCTTAGATGGTCCTGAGCTAGTTGATGGTATACCGACCACCGTCACGGCAAACTTCTCTCGTCCATTCGTCCTGTCCTGTCCAGTGAGAGGCGTCCCATTACCACACGTCATCTGGAGAAAGAACGGGCGCACCGTCGCACCCTCAGAAAATATCCAGTTCAATGGTCTGGATATCAATTTTACTTGTAAGTATATTATAAGGTTGCTTGGAGACAGTTATGGAATGAATAAAAGGTGTCAGGAATGCAAAGTGCATAGTTGGTGAACATCATGGCCCAGTGGTAGAGCAGTGGTCTCGTAATCGGGAGGTCCCAAGTTTGAAACCAAGTCAATGCACCCGTGCCTGTTGGTAATGCTTTGATCCTCATTACCATGTCCATCATAGAGAACTTAAAGCCATCGGTCTCCTTGTTGTTTACTTACAAGCATACACATGGTTTTTAGCAGTCGGGTAAAAACAAACATACAAACAAACATCTGTTATGTCATTTAGGTAGAATCATATCACTAGGACTGCTCATAGTGGGTATTGAAGTGAGTATTGTTAGTGATTCAAATTACAAAAGAGGACATGGAGCTAGTAAATATATATACTGTTTGTAACTTGATAATATTTAATATAAACAACTAATGTCATTCAAGATATATATATCGTCCCTATTTTCACGAAGTGACGGTAGTGAGGAAAATCGTCACGCAAAGTGAATGCAATATTTTTCACTACCGTCACTTCGTGAAAACAGCGACGATATGTCTAATAACATTTCCCTGATACCACCAACAACATTGTTTTATGCCTTTTGTCTTACAAACATATTTTTTGGCCATAATTCTCTCTTTTTTTTCTTATTTATACATAATTGTTATTATTATCAGAATTCTATTTTTGCATTATCATAATTTTATTACAATCAAATAAATTTGTTAACCATTAAGACTGTTTATCATAAAGAGATACTAGGTTAGTATCCCATAACTGTTTTTTGACCAAGGGTTTTATTTCATTTTTGAGCCGTGGAAATAATTACATCAAAGTTCCTGAACCCATTTTGAATTTCAAGAATACAAACGGTCTTTTCCTTTTCAAGCTATACTCAAAATGAATATCCAACCACAGAACTACTGCAGTGGTAGGCTTAAGATACATCATAGTGAGAGTGTAGAAAATAGCTCTTAATCCTTGCCAATATTTATACTTTTGTTACCCATTTTTATAAGCCTTGGTTTAACTAATGATAGAAATAGATCACTGTCTAGACTTGATACATGTGTTATTAGTCCATTGTTTGTAATATATTCAGAAGCCAACTGTAACATTATTTCATATGAAATGTTCGACACCACATGTTTGAAGAGCATGACACAATTAAGATTTTAATGATGATGATAGCGCAAAAATAGAATTATGAAAATAATAATGATGTATTTAATAGACGCTGTATGAGTACTACTTCCACTACTACTACCTCTACTCTTAATCATACGTTGGTCAACAAAATTTATAAAAGTAGGAGGCCTGTTAGTAATGATCTGGAAAAAATATCCCAGAAATAGCTCTACAATTTTTTTTCTTCTAAAGATAGTGAAGCATATATATACAAAATATATTGTTCCTGATCAAAATATTAGTCAAGGAAAAGAAGATTATACCATTTTGTCACCAAGTGATAATATGAATTTGTCGTGCATGCACACTCTAACGCATTGAAGTTAACATCTATACACAGCTTCACACTAGTAAGTTCATGTGATTAGATAAAAATCTTGAAAAGATGATTTTTTGCGGAAAGAGAAGGATGGAATGTTGCTTCCTGCACACCTGTTTGAGATCTGAGACTGAAATCCTCAGGTAGTGATGATTCAGGTTCTAAGACCTCTTCTACTGGCTGTGACTGTTTCTTCAATCATAATGTCTGAAGAAAGATTGTCTTAAAGATAAAGTTGGGTTCTAGAAATGTGAATATATATGAAAGATAAATGTCTGGAAGAGGTTGGGAAAGTTTGATCGGGTAATTGGTTTTGGATGAGAAAACGACTCAATCGCATGCAGGGCAGACAGGAATGGACAGGAATGGGACTACACACACAAGTGTTGTGATTGTTTGGTCCAAACTTGTTAGCTATTCATTGTCATGTTTAAATAGTGAGTGCATTTAAAGAGCTCTCCTTTTCAGGGGTCATTTCTATGATACTCTTTAAAACTGACACAAAAAGAATAAAAAAGCTCACAAAATATTTGTCACCTTTAATAAAAAATAAAATAAATCATCCTCTTTAACCCATTTTCTGAATATTTTTTATGTGAGCATGTTCATTACAATAACTCACACTGATCCACACATAACAAACATAAATGACATACCGCAACTATTCCATGTCATACCTACTCAACTATTCTGCATTTTATAATATCCATGGTGTGTGTGTGTGTGTGTGTAAGAGAGAGAAAGAGAGAGAGAGAGAGATGGAGAGAAAGAGAGGAGTGAAGCTGAGTATACAAAATGAATAATAATCTTCCATGGTGTCAAATTCTTTCCGTTTTTCATTTCCCTTTTAGCGGTCTCTGATGCTGATAGAGGGCAGTACCAATGTTCAGCCACCAACCCTTACGGGACCGTCACCAGTCCAGTTACTATCATTAATATTCAATGTAAGTATGTGCTTTAATGCCCGACTGCACTAGTTTAGCCAAGGGGATTAGACCTCCCTCCAAGGTCACTGACAGGTGTAATCTCATCAAATGAGCTCTCAATTAAAATATGAAAAGGAGGATCAAGTAGCTATAAGTAGTGCAATGGGGCTTTAATGCCATTTTCTAGCACCTGTTACTGCCCTCAAAACCTGGAACTTCTTACCCCCTGTTTTAAAGAATTCACCTACTCTACCTGCGTGCTTTGATAATCTTCCACTAAGTCTATAATTAGATGCAAACCAGCTGTATCTTGTACCTTTGCCTTTGTATTGTTTTTGAAAATGGACAGCCTGATATGAAAAGGAAAATTTGACCACAAGTACAGAGTAAAAATGTTCATGTTTATTCAGGGCTCCATGGAAGATCACTACGTATTGGTGAATGGGCTACCCTGACAAAAAATTAGAAATAAATAAATAAATAAAAGTGTAGTACGTTTACTCTTTTTTTTTTTTAAATGTGCATGTAACATCTGCTCATCAGTATCAAAGTGGATCATCAAAAATTCTCTAAAACTTGCCATTAATTAATATATTATTTAAAGGGACTCCTAATTAATGCCTTTCTTTTTGGTTTAGTAAATGAATTAAACAAAAAGCATACACAAAGAACTAGGCAACCAGTAAGCCTATATATAATTTAATTCTTTGTTGTATGGATGCAATTGTGTTTAAACAAAATTAATTGCTCCGCACATTTGATGACTGTAAGGGTTATCTTTCAAAATGGGATCAAGTTCAGGATAAATTTGCCCTATTACTGACATCAATATCCTTGTATAGCTTAATCCAAAGTATCAATACTTCCAGGGCTGAAGGATTATTTAATCCTAAACCTAATACAGCAAAGCTTTAAGAGTCTCAGCCTTGATGAATACTGGCAGATGGATGCCCTTAAAGTGAACCGGTAACATTGTTGAAGGTTGATGAAAACAAACTACCTAATTTGTGTATGAAATGTTTCTTATTATATTCTTTCTATTTACTAACCCTCTAACATGCACAAATCCTGAAACAATTCTCAAACCACAAAGGTATTTATGGTTTTCTCGGAAGGCATTATGTGTAACTCCCTCTGACAGTAAATTATCCCAACCCTTTTTCCAGGAAAATAAGACATATAGTTGGGAGAATTTGGGAATCTATCAGATCAGTTTTCCCCAATTGTTATCATTAATAATGGTATGTTTTCACTCAAACTTTCAGATCATCTTTAATTCTACATCTAGCATTGAAGTCATTTCCTCTCATCTGAACCATGCATGGAGCCTCTGTGGTAGCTAGGGTCCATGTCTGAACAATGTTACCAAGTCCCTTTAAAGCCATGACATCCTAGACTGCAGAGAGGTTTCCATGTTAATGGAAATCCTTTTATTCAGTTGTTTCCACTGATCACGTATTTATATCAAGTTACCAAGCCCCCTTCCAAATGAGGAAAGGATATATATCTTATGATTAGGATATGTTGACATCTAGAACTCAATATGCAGTTTGGAAACTTTTGAAAAGTATTAGAGACATCAAAGCAGTGTCAATATCATATTCAAAATGTTGAGATCATGGGTGTTGATCCGTAACTGATACCTATTCATCAGGGGGGGATGATCTATTCATTCATCCCCCCCTGATGAATAGGTATTACGTAAGGATCGACACCCATGGTTGAGATTGTGCTGTTTGTGATGTAGCGGGACCCCTATGTCCCCTCACTGATATGCTGACATCCCACAACTGTTGTAATATTTAAACAACTCTTTGTTTTAAATAGCTATGGTCGGTATCGAGTCAGATAAAACGATTGTTTTCCTTAATCACACACAAACTTGTACAATTCTAAGGTGTCCATATGTTACCAAAAATTGAATTTTATCAAAAAATTGTATACACAAATTAACTTAAAATATCATGTCATCTGCTGGTTTGTCGATATACTGTCATTGGATACAGTCATCGGATATACTGAAATATCAGATGTGGTCAATGTCTAATGTATGGGAAAAAAGTTTGGGGTGAGATTTAGCTGTTATTTGTTGTATTTTGTAATAAATAGGAGGGCATTTGAATAGCCCCCATACTTTTCAGGGGACATGTTTTTATGAAACTCTTCCACACTGACACTAAAAAGAATGAAAAGGTTCACAAATTCGTTTTGTCACCTGTCTAACAACTCAATTTTCCTTTGAACACCTTGAACAGATTAATAACCCGTTCATAAGGTCACATGACCCAATGTTAATCCCAATAAATCCTAATCCTCACTAACGATTGATCTTTCCTAGTATGAGTTAGTCATGATGCCAATGACAAGGGCCTAAAAAGGTTTCTGATAATGAACATTGTCAAGTCATGATGATATATTAAAGGTAACATTTACCCGTGGAAAATACATATTGAAATATATTTTCCATGGCAAGATCTGTATCTAGATTATGTGTTGATGATGAATAAATGATGATAAATTTATCTTTATAATATCCTGTAGCATTGTCTGAATAGGATCTGTTCAGAGCCCAAAGAGCATTAACTCTATATGTGTAAATGCTGGGCTTCAACAATAATGATAAGTATGAGCTGACGGCTGCCTGAAAGTGGTCATTTCAAAATTACCCCCTATCCCCATCCACTCACCCTGTTCTGTACACCCATGACAAGAGATAATTATAATTTTGATAATTGTTAATTCTGACTTTTTTGGTTTTGTAGGGCCTCTAAGGTTTGTGCAGGTTCCTCCATCAGTGCTAGACAGGAGAGAGGGCCAAAATGTCTCGGTGCAATGTAATGTGACAGGCTTCCCTCATGCAAGGATACTGTGGTACAAGAGGAATGGAAATGTAAGTGACTTGTTTGGTGCATTGTCAGGATTCCTTATGCAACATACTATGTACCAAGATGTATGGAAAGGTAATCAGGGAGCGCCTTGGTGCAATGTCAGGGTTCCTCATTCAATGGTACTACGGTACATGATGAATGGAAAGGTGAGTGACTTGTTTGGTGCATTGTCAGGGTTCCTTATGCAACGTACTATGTACCAAGATGTATGGAAAGGTAATGAGTGAGTGCCTTGGTGCAATGTCAGGGTTCCTCATTCAATGGTACTACTGTACACAATGAATGGAAAGGTAAGTGACTTGTTTGGTGCATTGTCAGGGTTCCTTATGTAAAGTACTATATGCCAAGATGAGTGGACAGGTAATGAGTGAGTGCCTTGGTGCAATGTCAGGGTTCCTCATTCAATGATACTACGGTACAACATGAATGGAAAGGCAAGTGAATCCCATGCAATGTCAGGATGCTAGGATGCATTGTCAGCGTTGTTTCATGCAAGGTACTTTATAACATTTGTAAGCAAGTTTCTTGTTGCAATGAGAGGGTTGCCTCATGCATGTCTACTACTGTGCAAGATGAATGGAGAGATAAGTGAATGTATTGCAATTACACTAGGGTTACCTCATGCAAGGTAATATCACTATGAATATGACAGACAAAGAAAGCGGACAAAATATACAGTTCCTCAGGTAGACAAAGGAACATCCCTTCACTGCTATTATGTAAAAATGTGTAGAACAGGTGTCACATGCATATTCACCTTTTTACATAATAGCAGTGAAGGGATATTTCTTTGTCTACCTGAGGAACTGTATATTTTGTCCGCTTTCTTTGTCTGTCATATTCATAGTGTATGATGGTGGTTCTGGGGGGGGGGGGTTCACAAAGATCCTATGTTAAAATTATCTCTAAGTTGAACTTAACAATTACGGAAAGCTGTTAGCATCTTTGAAAATATTTTGTAAAAGTTATTTTAAAAGGCATAAAATGTTGATTCAAATCATTCATATTTTCTGTCATCAAGGAGATCATGTTCTTGATGTGGAATTTATGAAACTTCTAAAATACTTGAATTTTTGCTTTTGAATATAATTTATTTTAAGTCTACAAATGGCTCTCCATAATGTTTAAGTCCAACTTAAAGTTAAGTTCGACTTAAAATCTTTGTGAAACACCCCCCTGGTCATATATCTTTCCATTCTGTCCATCATGAAGCAACAAGATGCAACCCCTTAAACCTTATCTGCCATAGTTTACAGGAGGGATTAAACCGCTCTGCAAGGTCACTGGATAGGTGGTTATCTCATCAACTCAACTCTCAGTTAACTTAAGAAAAAGAGGATCATGGGGGACTAATGGTCACCGATTAGGCATCGTTTGTTATATAGAGGGCGCAAGTAGCTACCAGTAGTGCAGTGGGCCTTTAAATGTAAAAAGAACTTCAAGAGCATGCAGTCAATACTTCAAAATGATTATTTGTTAATTTTCAAAGTATAGCAGTTTGTCTTGCAATCATCCACTCCTCTCTGTAGGGAACATGTCAATTTGTAATTAGTCACCTGAGAGATATCCTGTTCCAGTCTTTCCCATCGTGAGAACAACAAGGTACCCCTATTTCAATGTATTTAAAGCCTATCTGCACTAATGTGGCCAGGATGGATTAGAACTACCTGCGTGGTCATCCACAGGTGGTTATCTCATCGAATCAGCTCTAAATTAACAAAAGAAAAAGGGGACCATGGGGGACCAACAGGTACCGCTTGATAATAACAATAATAATACGTGAGATTTATATGGCGCCATTATCCATTCTAGCTAGCATTAGGCTTAGGTATTGTTTGCTTTTTAAATAGAGGGCGCAAGTAGCTACAAGTAGCGCAGTCCCGCATTAATATACATGTACTTAAAAACAGTCAAGAGTTTGGAATGTTTTTTTAAATGTATGTCAGTTGTTCGGATTGCAATCATTCCCTCTCATCTATGTATCATACAACAGTATAGAAGTTGCCGTAGAGATATTTTAGAGGGTTCCGTCTTGCCAATCATGAAAGCACTGAACAAGGTGCAGTCTCTAAATGAGACAGGAAAGAGTCATTTTGTGTTTGCCCTATTCTGAGATAACGCTGAAGCACAGCAAGGGTTTCCTGAACCTTCCTAAAGACTTGACCTCCCTTCCAGACTTCCAGAGGAGTTTTTCTGATTTTCTTTTCAACCAAGTTTGAATGAGTCATCAATAAAGCTGAAACAATAGAACTATGTATCCACTATCCACTAAATTAGGAACCTCATTTAAGGGGGAAGTAGTACCTGTCAGCGTATAAATGGGTTGCATGTAGTTTGGGTTTTACTGATGACTCATTCAAGCTGGGTTCAAAAGAATATCAGAAAAACTCCTCAAGTCTGCTTCCTTTTTCAATGATCACAAGTTTGAATGAATCTTAGTCATAAATTTACATGTATTTTCACTTTTAGAACCTACTTACTACCTAGACTAATACTTAAAAGATTTACTCTATTATGTATTGTCATATATTTGTCCCTATTTCAATGAAAGCAAATTTTTATTAAGTACTATATATGCTGATAGGGAACTATAATGTAACCGCTAATCACTTTCATATTACTGTATGGATTCTTTGGTTCAAATAACTGACAATGGAAACTGCTTTAAGTGGCAATGGAGAGAAAATGATAGCACAGTCTGGATGCTAGGCTAGACCGGTGAATCTGGGAAATCACCTGATAGTCAAGGTCTTTTATCTGTGATCTGCTCAGTGTGATAGTAAGTGACTACGTCTAGTCTGATGGGATTATTGGAAGCCTGGTTTCTATTCAGCACAGCTGGAGTAAATACTATTTTTGTTTCTATCTATGCCTTATATGTCAAACTTGGTGACATTAATAGAAAAATAAGTAATTCATTTTTTATTTTTCTTTGACAGATGGCTTTTGGTATTGTGTTGGGACTTTTTCTAATTGTATTGTTTATGATATAAACATATAACTAATAAATAATAAACTTTCGATTGACCTTCAGAACTATTTATTGACAATGAGTCAGATTTTGTTTGTCTATGTGGTGTCATATGGCTACTGACAGATAAGTTGATGATTGATATTGGTACAAAAATATTGTCCAAACCCTGGTCATTTTTCACATCCACACAAAAATAGGTTTTGACTCTTTTTTTTCTTCATGTATATTTTCATGGTATTTCCTAAAAAATGGACTATTTTCTGTCCTGTGTTTTAACTAACGAGCCAAACCTTACCCAAAACATAGTAACCTTTGATGTAATATAATAATTAAAATTCAAATGAATTTATTTCACATCTCTTAAAAATACATAATCTGAGCCTACCTCTAACCTAACACAAAATCAGATTATTACCCTACCCATACATATTTGATCGTCATCATATTTTTTTCCTGAACTCACCTGCCTGAACTGTAAGCCTATCCTAAAAAAAACTTTTTCAATTTTACCCCTATATCTGTGATTCTATGTTATAAATTGTTGCTAGGTACCCATCATGCTCTGAGAGTGACATTAGCATCAATCATCACAAGAGCACCTGACACTAAGGTCTGATCACATGATCAAATTATCTGAACAGGAGTATCTTATAGAAGGAAGTGGTTTGGGATTGGCTTATGAGTCAAGAGTGAGAAAGACATACATGTAGATGTATTTATAGAGACAAGTACGTATGTGCACATTATCTTGCCTTCTTGTATTTATAGTTTTCTCTGCAAGAAAATCATCTTCAAGGCATTTATCATCATACTACGAATGTGTTCTAGACACTTTTCAGCAATTTTATCATCAAGTTGTTTTTGAAAAACTTCCTTTTTTGGTATTAGATGGTATGTTTTTTTTTTAAGAAGGAAATCATTGATGTTTAAAACATTTCCGGATTGGTTTATAAAGTTATAGGCTGATATCTAAAAAAAAGCCTTATCAAAGAAATATAATGGATATTTGAGGAAATAGACATTTTATCTGATGTTCCTCTCCAGTGCTTTGATTTTTTGTTAAGGTAAAAATAAGGCATAAACAAACATCTTTGTAGTTACTTTGATAATCACTAGACATCAAAATCAATTTTGATGTTTCTTCACACAGATAATACTCCATGAATATTAGTACTTTCCATCTCAACTTCTCTTCTCCTAAGATAAATGATGGATACATTACAGTCATTGTATCTTTGTATTTCCTTGCGTTGCCTCAAAAGTTATTTACCGGTAGACACAATTGTATGCATGTTATTCAGGAATAATATGTAAGATTACAATATCCATCAGATTACGAGCCTGTGTCATGTATTTTATATATTATTTGGTAAAAATCATGAGAATCTGCCCTTTTAAGCAATGGACCTGGTAAATTATGACTTTATGTATACTGTCACTATTTTGTCACATTATTTGTTTTCTTTTTTTTCTCTGACCATATTGGATATATATATTTAATATTTTCCAGTTTATTGTGTATTCTACTTCTCTTGAATGAAGAAATATCAACAAGATTTAGTAAGTATATTCTGCTTAAAATAACGAAGATGTTCCTCTCTCTCTTTTATCAATTTGAATTGATAGGAAAGTGAGCAGATCATGAATTCATCACATACAGTGATAACCAACATGTATTCAGAGCGGGTCTCCTGGTCAAGACTGGACATAGACTCCCTCAACGTTAGTGATAATGGGATGTATCAATGCGAAGCAACCAATGTCAACCAGCAAGTCAGCACTAACTTTGATCTTGTTGTGCACGGTAAGAACATATAATAGGATACCAAATCGGCCTGCGATACAGCACTAGCTTAAAAATTGATGAAGATTTGCTAAATTACGATAATTTTTCAGGTAAAGTTTTTTTTTTTCTCTAAATTTTATAAGAATACTGATTTGGTATCAGTTTGTAGAAAAAATAGTGTTCCACAAGAAAATTACAATTATTTTGTTTTGGCCATTTTTTTCTTTCTCCTTTGTTTGTTTTTTCCTCCTTTGCAAAATGTCAAAGTCGGGGGATGCGGCCTTATCGTCAGCAAATACGGTACTTGGTATAATTTCCTACTTCCATTTTGATATAAGAGGAAATGTTTTGCACACTCATTAACAATCGTCCTTTGTTTTTGTTTTTGCATCCTTTTTCTCTCTAGCTCCACCAAGAATCACGTCTGTCCATCCTGCCGTCAGAACAGCTCATGTAGGCATGGATCTTGTCTTTGAGTGCACAGCCACTGGGTTCCCTCCGCCAAAGTTTACTTGGTTCAGGAATGGAAGAGTACGTTCATTGTCAGAAATTACGAAAACAATGATGGCTATATGTTTACCACACGAAGAGTAAAATTAAAGCCCCTCTGCACTAGTTTGGCCAGGACGGATTAGACCTCCCTGCATGGTCGCTGACAGGTGGTTATCTCATCAAATCAGCTCTCAATTAACATAAGAAAAGGGGGATCATGGGAGACCAACAGGTACCGCTTAGGCATTGTTTGCTTTATAGAGGGCGCACGTAGCTACAAGGAGTGCAGTGGGGCTTTAAAGCAGATGAAATATTTAAGTTCATGTGTAGGAATACAGGGGAGAGGAATGAAAGACTAGGGGATGGTACTCCGTATTCAAAGTGTAAGGTGTGGTACCATTATCCTTTTATTATATGCCATAAATATGATAAATAATAATAATAATACAAATTTAATATTTCATCATTTACTTTTCATGCTTTACTTGCTGTATTCCCTATTTATGTAGATTGTGCTGTTTTGCTGACTTGGATATTTTCAATATATGTTATCCATAACTCACTAATGAAAATGTAAAATGTAATTCATTAATTTTTACAACCAGTATTCTCTCTGTCGAAATTGTACTTTTACCTTATTTTCGATATGTCTGATATACACTCTCATCCTCAGCATTATCTTATATATATATATATATATATATCTATATATATATATATATATATATATATATATATATATATATCTCGCTTTGTCTCTCGTTCTCTCTCCCTCTCTCCCTTTCTCTCTTTCTCTCCCTCTCTGTCTGTCTCTATCTCACACTTTTCCTCGGTCTCCCGTGCTGTCTGCACTATTATCCTCCCTACCTCTCTTCTATATTTCCCTCCAGCCCTATGATGATTTTGGAATAGAATGTTAAGTGAATTTTATGAATTGTATTAATTTGTATATATATATGTGTACACTGATTTTTTAATTTATTCACTGCGTGATATGTCTTAATACGTTTTATGTTTGTATACATATTTATGTTTTTACAATGTACAAAGTTCTGCATTCAACCATCTGGCTGCAAATGAATTTTTAATAAAACCATTACCATTACCATTACCATTACAATTATTATTAAACTTTGTAAATTATATATTTATCAAAATGTAGCAGGTTTCAGTGATTAAGGAAATAAAGAAATTATATGAATATTACATAAAGTACATAAATAGGTAAATTGATCGAACCAAACGGATCGGTAGTTGCATTCAGTTATGATAAACTATTATTATAATTATGTTTTCTGGTGTTCTGATTCCCTCCTAGGCCATTCCTCGTATTGGTAACACTCATTTCAACGAAGGTTGGGACGGTATCCTGACCATTGATAGTCTCATTGAGTCTGATGCAGGCAACTTTACATGCCAAGCATTCAATGATGTAGGATATGAATACAGTAATACTACTAGACTAGATGTGTTTGGTAAGTCTGTCAAAGATATACAGCTAACAACTGAATTATTCATACCCCCTTACCAAGTTCTGTAATCGTTAAAGAGTGCGGAAATGTAATTGGTCCGGATTTATGTTTCTCGAGAATGTGACATATCATAGCTTACATCTAGAATTATTCAACAAGGCCCAAATTCAACAAGTCGACATTTCAGATTTGTGTATTTTGTGTATTTTGTATATAGCGCCTTGAGTAAGCAATAAGTAAAGTGCGCTTAATAAAAATGTATTAGGGTGAGAAGGGGGGAGAGGGTGAGAGATCTATAGACAGAGTAGAAGATAGAGAATTACAGAAGAGACTAAAGTTAGAAATGTATGTTTGCAATCCTCTCTTGGTGTCATATTTAAACAACCAGTTTTAAATAGCTATATTTAATATACAAAATAATAATACTGTTTTGCTTTGATTGCATCGCAGGTATATACTTCATAGAAAGAGCGCCCCCCATGTTAGCTGTAGAGGAAGGTAACTCAACGCAGCTTGTTTGTGATGTCGGTGGATCTGATTACGGTGTGAGGATAGAATGGTTTAAAGACAGGACTCCAATCCAATCACAATGCACTCCAGATCAACTTAGAAAGTAAGACTTCATTGTGTTTTTCTTAATATAATATTCAGATTGCCTTTGTGTCAGATGCACGCAGCTTAGACAATGCAAACAAACAGTACACACAGGGAAGAGATATACTCAGTCTCATTAACTTTTGTATGCATTTTACTGTGCAAAAAAGGTTATATTGGACACCAAGCACAATGTAGAGTGTCACATAATAGCTTCTCAGCCAGTAGAATGCTCTCTATCGAATGCCGATTTTTTTTTTTTTTTAATAACAAGTTCAATTTCCTTGGTCCAAGGAAGTTTGTTTTCAAGATTGAAATGAATCTAAGTTTATATTTGTTATTGTTATTTTATAATGTACGATAATATTATTTTCATAATCAAAATGACAATTGTTTGAATTGTTTAGAATTAAATTGTTATTTTCCAATCAGTTTACCTAGATGTAAGTACATGATAGTCAACAGCACTCTTCACATAATGAAAGTAAGTCAGCAAGACTTGGGAACCTACATCTGCAAAGTAACAGAACAAGGAACGGCTGACCCTGAAGTCATACAAGCTGAGACACAAGTTCTATTTGCAGGTCAGTTATATTTCAATTAATGATAATATTAATAATGATGATGATGATGATGATGACGACGACGATGACGACGACGACGGCGACGACGACGACGATGAAGAAATTTAAAACTGGGACAGACAATTTTATTACTTAAACTGGGGTTAAGAAATGCAAATACATGTATGGCCTATGTCTTTTAAATTACTAATACCTACCGAAATAATGATATTCAGATATTTATTTATATTTTGTTTTGCAGTTCCGGTGGCTCTCTACCCCAGATTAAACGATGTGTATACGGGTGATGCTGGCAAGCCTTTAGTCCTAGAATGCAAAGCCACGGGAAGCCCGCCCCCTACTGTTGAATGGCTATACAGGGGAGTTCATCCGCTCAATGACTCACATAGAATGGTAAACCTTTTCTCTTTTTTTTAAAACAGTTTTTGCTACATTCTTAGCTGAGCTTATTGCAGACAATTCAATTGTCATGGAAACTGATGTGTGTTTCATTGAAACTAACATACATGTATCATAGGCTTAGATTTCCTTCAACAACCTTTGATTTTGCATCCAAGATGTTTAAGCGTTATGAAATTGAAATTTATGTAGCAGGAGATTATTTTCTTCATATGTACAAAGACTTTCAGTGTATGGGCAAAATATATGACAATATCCATGTAACGTTGGTATGAGATCTTCTACTACACATGGAAGATGAAATCATGTGTTGAAGATTTGTATGCAATATAGTGCCCTGCCAGAATCGTTGCTGGTTTTTTTTTCTTGCTTAGTACACATTTCTCTTTTTATCAGCGTTACATAGACATCATATTCATATAAAATTACATTAAGCCTTGCATAGGTCCATAATATTGATTCACCATGAAGCTTGAGTACTTCGATCTGAAGATAGTTGGCTATGGTTTTTATGCAAAACTCAATTTTAGTAAAAATTGTTACAGTTGATAGGAGACATAGTTTCTCACTTCCCAGAGGGGTGTTTCACAAAGATCCCAAGTCAAACTTAACTCTAAGTTGGACTTACAAATTATGGAGAGCCATTTGTAGCCTTAAAATAAAATATATTTAAAAGTGAAAATTCAAGTATTTTAGACTTTTTATGAACTTCACATCAAGAACATGAAATCTCTTTGATAATAGATAATATGAATGGTTTGAATCAAATGTTATGCCTTTTGAAATAACTTTTACAAAATATTTTCATAGATGCTAACAGCTTTCCATAATTGTTAAGTTCAACTTAGAGTTAAGTTCAACTTTGGATCTTTGTGAAACACCCCCCAGGTATGTCACAATAATCACCCCAACCCGTGGGATGATTCATATACTGATAGCTTCTGTTGCTTCCACATGTGTGCAGATCTCCGGTGGTACGATCAAGTTCCGTCGTCTGCTTGCGAGGGATAGTGGGCATTACCTGTGTGTGGCTAGTAACAACATCACTGAAGCTAAGCAAGATGTCAGAGTCAAAGTTAATTGTAAGTCCACCATTTGTAGGGAGCTTGTACACGTAGATTTAACATGTAGTAAGAGTTAGAGAGAGGCATTGTATTTCACATTCTTCATCCAAATTACATCCTCTCAACAGCTAAGAGGTGTGTTGTATTTACTTAGAATGTCTGGTAATACTTGTAAATATATTTTCTTTCTGTTATACTCTCATACCCCGAGAGGGGGCCAATATATTCAATAAATACTAAGTCTATATTATTGTTATAAGAAACAGTGGCAGAATTAAGTGTTTGAAAATAACATCTGTCTAATTCCTTTAAATATGATAGGGTAAGCTTAAACGGAGGATGCACACTTTAACATTTGGGATGTTTTTGTCATCATTAGAACTCAACTTGGCCTGTGAAAGGAGCTCATATTATTAATTTCTATCTTTTTATTAAAACATCTATGATATTCTTTTTTCAAGATAGGCAGTTCTCTGGAAATGTCATTCCGTAATGCTTGGAATTTACCTCAACTTGACCTTTGACATTCTCCAGGGGGTGTTTTACAAAGATTCAAACTTGAACTTATCTCCAATTTGGAATTAACTATTATGGAAAGCCGTTAGCACCTTCAAAAATATCTTTGAAAAGGCATAAAATGTTGATTCAAATCATTCATATTTTCTTTTATGATGGAAGATTTCATGTTCTTGGTGTGGAATTTATGAAAAGTCTAAAATACTTGAATTTTTTGCTTTTGAATATATTTCATTAAAAATCTACAAATGGCTCTCCATAATTTTTAAGTCCAACTTAGAGTTAAGTTCGACTTCGAATCTTTGTGAAACACTCCCCTGTACATTATCCTTATTTTCCTCCTAGCTGTACCTCCGATAGTAGCAGATATTCTTTTTTCAAGATAGGAAATTCTCTGGAAATGTCATTCTGTAATGCTTGGAATTGACCTCAACTTGACCTGTGACATTCTCCTTATATCGATCCTAGCTGTGCCCCCCATGTTGAACCTGGACATTAAGCAGTCAGGTCAATCAGTGACCTTGGACTGGAGGGTGGTAGGTAACGGTGGCTACCCGGTCAAGAGCTTCAAGTATGAATACAGAATGATATCACCCAAGACTGGAAAGTGGTCCGCAGATAAACTATCTCCACATTTGGTAAGTAGCCATTTATATGCCTCATAATGATGATGAGAAGGGTGGTAGTGGTTGTGGTGGTGGTGATGGTGATGATGATGACAATGGTGGTGGTGATGATGATGATGGTGGTGATGGTGATGATGATGATGACAATGGTGGTGGTGATGATGATGATGACAATGGTGGTGGTGATGATGATGACAATGGTGATGGTGATGATGATGATGACAATGGTGGTGGTGATGATGATGATGACAATGGTGGTGGTGATGATGATGACAATGGTGGTGGTGATGATGATGACAATGGTGGTGGTGATGATGATGATGACAATGGTGGTGGTGATGATGATGACAATTAAAAAACGATGAATACCCCCTTTCTTCCTGCTTGTTAAGCAAGCATTTTGGGCTCAAATTCAACTGCAACTTCTTGATTTAGCTAAGTATTTAATTCTAAAATATATATTTTCTTTCTTTCTTTCTGTTTTTTGTTTTGTTGTTGAAACAGTCGCGCGCCACTCCGACTGACCGCAAGCGCCACAAGTGGCGCGCGCGCCGCCGGTTGAGAAGGCCTGCTCTAGCATGTCTAGCAAAATGGGAACCCATGTAAACGTAGGTGGAGAGTGACAAAGGTCAATTGATGTCTTGGTGCATGGTAGTCATGGTAATGATGATGATAGTTGTGGTTGAAATTTATTCATGTGTTTGGAGTATGAATATGGACTGACTTCACACTCGCCCCCTTACATATCCTTGGGGGAACAAAACATGGACAAATAAAATGACATGGCTTGTTTTCTTTGTTTCTTTCTTTCAGAGATCACACACTATCAAAGGTCTGAAGTCCAATGCTACGTATGAGATCAAGATGTGGGCTGTCAACAAGCTCGGTCAGGGAACCATCACCAGACAAGTGTTTGCCACAGATTCCCACGCGGGTAAGATGTTCATTTACTCTATTAGAGGGGGGTGTTTCTCAAACATAAAGACTTAAACATTATGGAGAGCCATTAATACAATATATTCAAGAGCGAAAAATTCAAGTAATTTAGACTTGTTATAAATTCCACATGAAGAACATGAAAGCCATGTTGGTAATAGAAAATATTAATGATTTAAATCAACATTTTAAATCATTAAAATAACATTCACAAAATATTTTCATTGATGCTTTCCATAGTTATTAAGTCCAACTTAAAGATAAGTTCAACTTAGAATCTTTGTGAAACACCCCCCAGATCTACCCACATTATGGCCATTAACATTCCAGAACTTGAAAGCGAGACAAAAAGTGTTTTCCCAAATTCCCAAGAACAGGATTTGCTTGTGGTGAAAGGGCGTTCTCGGCTGTGGAACCCTTTTGTAAAATATTCCCAGTGGAGCTGATGTCTACAACATCTAAACAAAAGTTTCAACAAAAAGTAGAAAAAAACTTTCTTTACTTAGCAATGTTTGTATAGATATATTGACTGCTATGAGAGGCATCACTGTTTCTATAGGCTCAGGGACATTACATCCTGTTATAACCCCGAGGGGCAGCTATTAAACATCTATAAACACTTTTATTTAACCTATTTATGTTCTTTTATTTCACAAATGTCTTTATGTCATTTATTTCTTATTTTACAAGAACGTTGAGTTTTTTCATTATTTGTTAATACTATACATGTACGATACTGAGCAAACATTTTCTAAGTGGTTACTGATGACCTTAAACAATTATTGACTTCTTTATCAATTTGACATTATTCCATTTCACATTGACATTACCTTTCTCCCCTAGGCATTGGAAACATCTTCAGCGGTCTCTCTGAGGACAATCTCAAGTTGATCTACATCGGAGCTGGCGTGGCCGGTGGTTTGTTCCTCCTCATCTTGGTAGTGGTGTTTGCCGTCGCATGCAGACGCAAACCAGATCCTTCAGGAATCAGAAGTGAGTCAATTGGCAATGCAGTTACCGGGGTTACTATCCAATACAAATCTTATCCCAGTTTGAAGGGAATGGCTGGTTTCCGCCAGGCAGGTTAGATGCATGTGAATGAGTTCATTATATGATCTATCTGCGCTTGAGTTGAGGCTGTATACATTTCTCTATCATCCATCAGCTTGAATAAGATAAGTGCATAAATAGACTCAACAAGAGCGGATAGATTGTGTAATAAACAGATGAAGACATGCAATCATTTGTTGAATCCAACAAATCTCCTAGATACTTCTCTTTTTTATGTAAAAGGGAGCCATTTTAAGATTCCTTCATGTCAGTATCAAGGACAAATACACGAAGGACAAACGACGTGATCCACAGTCCGGTGACGTATCCGCTAGATTCCTCTGTAAAGATAAACCATCTTGATCATACAGTGAAACCTGTCTATAAAAATTACCCAAGGGAGATAAGAAAAGTGGTCTTATAGGCAGGTGGTCTTCATGTACAGGTTCCTTTAGTACACATTTCAATGAGAAACCATTTTCAAGGGAAACAAAAATGTGGTCTTTGTAGACAGGTGGTCTTTCTAAACAGGTGGTCACTAAAGCAGGTTTGTCTGTATTTGTTATCCTCTCTTAACTGTCTCCTCCCTCTCTATTCTCATCACTCCTGACGACGGATAGTCAACCTGTTCAAAATGTTGAGCCACTCCCACCACTCATCTTCTCCGAGCGCTATAGATAACCAACAGTCTTTTTCAAGACTATACCAACAGTCTTTTTCACGACTACACACCCTCAAGAAAGATAACCGGGAGTCCTTTTTTGAGGACTTCTCAATCCTCCCTCTCTCTCTCACATGGTGCACCCGCAAGCCTACTGTATATCTCTTTTCTCATCTCTGTAGAACGTACAGACGGTGTAGAGGATGGTCAAGCATTGGTGGATGATTTCCAGGAATCCCCGTCTCACATCAATCCAGCTTACGGAGGAGCTGACCACCCTACCAGCGAAAATCTAGAACTCAAAGATGTGAATCCTACGGATAGTAACGGAATCAAGGATAAGAATGGGAAGCCCGTAGGAGGATTCGCGGAGGATAACGGAATGGCTCTAAACCTAGACCTAGACTCTGGGCCATAGACTCAACACCAGATATGCCTTGGTTATGCAGCATTGTTGTGTTTTTGTTATGATATGTTGTTTCTAATAAATGATGAGAGAAAAAAAATTCAAAAACTGCATTCAAAAGTGATGTCTTGGAGATAATAGTTAAAATGTGATCTCAGTTGAAATCCCAGTTACGTTCCCATAAAGCTGTTCTGACCAAATACATGTATGAGAACAGAATTCACCTTATTTTTTGTTTTCATGAAAATGTTAATATTCATGAAATTTTTAATTGTCTGTAGATAATTGACCTGCTAAATACTGTGTATGTGTGTTCTTCTGAAATGATTTATTTTCATGTATGTCTTGTACAATGTATTCTACTATCAATCGATCTATGCAGTATTGAATTGTTCAGAGTGCAATATTTAGATATCTTGCAAAAGTGACATATGTATTTCAAGAGGTGGTAACAAATGATTTGTAGAATACAAGGTGCTAGTAATAAGAAAACTGTGCAATAATGAATTTTCAAAGTGGAATTATTATATATCTTGTTTTTTTTATTGTTTATTCGGGATACACATTTATAGTGTGCTAGGTGCTTGTATTGGTAATACAATAATAATATATTCCGGAGAATGCCATGATTAATTATGCACAAACGTTTAAGTTCTGTGAATCAATTGCCGTAGTGGTCAACTCTCTCTCTCTAAACTACGGCCACCTGTCTACAGTGGAATTGTGTGTTGAATACCGTAACCTGTCTAGAAAGGTTACTTGTCTACAGTGGCCTGTCTTCCTGTTTCCCTTGACAGGTTTGACTGTGTATGCTAAGAATGGTTGCGTGCAATTTCATTTGTTGTATATTCACTTGTTCATGTTCATGTTTTTCTTAGAAACTAGGCTACATGCGAATTATGGGGGGGGGGGGGGGGGGGGGGGGTAGTAGATATATCAAGGAACCATCAAGTTATTTATATGTTCGCTGACTACGAATTACATTGAGAAGCAATAACGTGTATTCCCTTTTTTTCAATATGGAAATGTGCAATCATATATGATTTCTACCAGTCGTAACATACTTTCAAGTTTTCTATGTAGAAGGTTTCTATTATATCTGAGTTGTGTATCTTGATTAATATAGAGCTTCCAGTTTTAGAATATGATGATATTTTTCATATTTATCAAGTCTTTCATAGACCATGGTTTTTAGACTATGGTTTATTGTATGAAAGAGATTCTCAAAGGCATATAATGATGTAGGTCGTTAATATTTTGCAGTGTAAGGTATGACGGAGGTAATTAATGTGAAGCCCTAATGAAAATGTAAAACATATATTATACAAAATCCTTTATGGAATACATGCATACATGTATATTGTGTTGAGATATATTGATATGCAAGCGCTTTTTCCTTGAATTGTATTTCAGAGTGTATTCAGATGTATGAAGGCTGTTTCTACTGAAAGCTGAATGACTCTTACATTTCATAATAAAATGTCATCAAAAGAACCAAAAATGTTTGTTTTATTTCTTATGTCAGACATGATTGTAATTCCAATTTCATCTTACAGCGAGTCATTAGCAGTGTATTTGATGAGCTGTTTTAAGGTACTGATGTGTAAAAAAGGGAGAGAATATTTAGTTTTGTGCAATATGTACTAGGCTAAGAGAAATATATTAATGGTGAGCAATAGTGATGAGGATGATGATGGTTATGACAGAGATGCCAACCCTCCCGATTTCATCGGGAGGCTCCCGATTTTTCACCCCAACTCCCGACCTTACGATCTCCATCCTTATCCTCCCGATATTATGATATTTTTGCACTGATCAGTATATTTATCTTCGAATTGAATGAGAAATATCGTCTGCTAACTTTAGCATGTAGTAATTCAACTATGTTCGCTGCTACCGAATTCTACGTAAAAGCAAAAAAAATAAGGAGCAGCGAAAGATTGGCTCAGTAGCTCGCATGCTTTGCAGCTGCATGCGATGCGCCGAACGGGATTTCACTGCGGACCAGCCCGGCGGTCCCGGCCGAGCGCTGTGTGAGTGGCCGCTGGAGTTGAAGATAGTGGAGTCGCGCAGTGGAACATCAAAGGGCGATTTTGGCGTAACCAATTTTTTGAAATTGACACGGAATGGCGGAAAAACAGCAAAAGAAGACCAAAAAATGGTCTCAAAAGTATAAGGCCGAATACAGTCTTCAGTTCCCGTGTATTCGGAAGTCTGATAGAGGAATTCATCATGCATTTTGTACAAGGGTGTCGATTTGTATCCGTGGTTGGGGGGGATGATAGGTGCCAAAATATTTTCGGCAATGGATCAAAGCAACCAAAGTGGTAGAAGCGTGTGGCAAGTTGCACCCCTCCCAAGCGCGTAGCCAGGATTTAATTTAAGGGGGGGGGGGCGGTAGTTAGCACACGAAGCGCGGTTCCTAGGGGGTTGGGTGCAGGGAGGGGGAGTCCCCCCCCCCCCCCGCAAAGCGAGGAAGCTTTGACGTTTCACTAAATTATTAGAGAAAGAAGACGATTCGTTGGACCGTTCTCGACTCTTAATCCTTGTTTGAATTAAATTCTCCTTCCTCCGCGCGTAGCGCGGTAGCTCTGACGTTTCATTAGATTATTAAAGAAAGAAGACGATTCTATGTACCATTCTCGACTCTTATTCCTTGTTTGAATCAAGCTCCCCTTCCCCCGCGCGTAGCGCGGAAGCTCTGACGTTTCATTAGATTATTAAAGAAAGAAGACATTCGATGTACCATTCTCGACTCTTAATCCTTGTTTGAATCAAGTTCCCCTTCCCCCGCGCGTAGCGCGGAAGCTCTGACGTTTCATTAGATTATTAAAGAAAGAAGACGATTCTATGTACCATTCTCGACTCTTAATCCTTGTCTGAATTCATTTTTACCCAATCCTGCGCGAAGCGCGGAAGCTTTCACATTTTATTACATTATTAGAGAAAGAAGACGATTTGTTGTATCGTGTCCTTCATGAATTCAGTTTCCCCCCTACCGCGCGAAGCGCGGAAGCTTTAATGTTTCAATAAATTATTACTCTTTATCCTTGTCTGTATTCACTTTCGCCCATTCCGCGCGTAGCGCGGAAGCTTTCACGTTTTATTAAATTATTAGTAAAAGAAGACGATTAGTTGTATCGTGTACTTTGACGTTTCATTTGATTATTACTCTTAATCCACGTCTGAATTCAGTTGCCCCCCTAACAGCTTTGCCCTGTTCGCTAAATTATTAGAGAAAGAAGACGATTCATTGTACTGTTCTCTATATTAATCCTTGTCTGAATTCAGTTTCCCAACTGAAAATAAGTTGTGACATAATAATCTTTCTCCAAAAATGAAAAATGTTTTAGGAAATATCAGGAAATAAAATGAGTGAAAAAAATAAAAATAAAGATACAATGACGTGAATTTTAAAAAGGGTGAACGGAAACAACATAACAACTAGTGAACTATTTTATAAGTCATACTAATGTCCGAAAATCTTTCTCTTTGTCTCCGATCTCATCACGAAATCGTCACAGAGTTCATCTATGTTTACACTGTCCAGGATTGTCTGATGTGCATTGCAGATTGCTACTTTTGTGCTTCGCGCTTAACATTTAGCTCGTTGCTTTTGATGCTGCGTCTTTGCATTTGGCGCACTGCATTTCTATGATATGCTGTTGATTGAACAAATTGAATAAATTCATCAATTCCTGATGAAGCCGTATGAGCGAGAATTCAATTTATTCTTGTCTCATATACGGTTGTCTTATTAACTTCGTATATAATGTATGTATTATGAAAATGAGATAGCAAAATGTGTATATTGATGGTCATCTTGCGAGTAATAACAATTAACTACTCTCATCGGACTCTCATCATTAATTTTTCTCTTCATTTAAAAAAATAATTTTATGGTGAATTATTGGGGGGGATGATTGTACAGGCCATCCCCCCCACCTGAAATATTGGGGGGGGATATATCCCCCCCATCCCCCCCGGGATCGACACCCATGATTTTGTACGATATGCAGCGTTGACATTTCAGTTGAGCACGGCGGTCGTGATGATATTCGGAAGCACGTTGGGATCAAACGGCACACAGACATTGCGAAGGCGAGATCTTCGGGCAAGAGTACCCTTATGACTTATTTCACCAAGCAAGGGACGAGCGAGGAAGAGGATGTTACCAGAGCCGAGCTTTTCTTTACTGGATTTATAGTGGAACATAACTTGCCAATAGCTGTCGCAGACCACGCTGGCCCTCTATTTCGGAAGATGTTTCCAGACTCGAAAGTGGCTTCTACGTATGGTTGTGCAAGAACAAAAACTTCAGCAATAATTGGTGAGTTATCGAATGTGACTGCTTCAGCTATTGCCGATATTGCTAGATCATTTCCATTCAGCTTAGCTACAGATGGTAGTAATGATGGTGGTGATTCTCAGCTTTATCCTGTCTTGATTATGTACTATGATGACAGCGCTGGGGTTGTGAAGCAAGGTTTGCTAAGTTTGCCCGCATGCAAACAAGATTCCACAGGAGTAAACATCTACAAACTGCTTCATAGTGAGCTTAATGACAGGAAAATTCCATGGGGAAATTGTGTGTCCTTTTGTGCGGATAATGCTTCTGTCATGTTGGGCAAACACAAAGGTGTTGCTGCTTATATCCACAAAGAAAATCCAGAGTGCTACATCATGGGATGTCCATGCCATATGATCCATAATACAGCCAAGAAGGCAGCTCAGGCCTTGCCAGTTGCATTGGATGACTTTCTCGTTGATATCTATTACTACTTAGACAAAAGTAGTAAACGTATCAAAGGAGTTAAAGCACTGCAAGAACTCTGTGATGCCCCTACACATAAGATACTGAAGCATGGCGCAACAAGATGGTTGTCACTTGGCCAGTGCCTAGACAGGCTGATAGAACAGTGGGAGCCACTTCGCCTCTTCTTCAAAAAAGAAGTGCAAAGAAAAATGAAACCAGTGAAAGCCATAACATTGAGGAAGAAGAACGCTGTTGTTGTATCTACTGGAACTGCAGGATCTAAAGCTACAATTAGCTCTCGTGGGGCAGGAGTTCCCGCTACCCTTAAGTTAGCCTCTGCCTCAAAACAGACAACAGGGACAGCATCAAAATCAATGGTGAGAGCAGGTAGCAGCACCTGCCCTTCAAGTTCTTCTACAGGCAAAGGAGGACCCAAGTTAAGTTCTGCTTTTGCCAAGTCTGTTGATAAAAGCTCAGCAAAACCCTCAAGTCAGAAGCCTACACCTTCCTTGGCTGCACCTACTAGCTCTCACCTCAAGCGTAAAGGTACTCCGACCTCTTCTGCTGCCAGCAAACACAAGTGCAATCAGCCTGCAGCTAGCAGTGCATCGTCCTCCCACACCTTGCAGGAATCCAGAGAAAAACGTGCCAACAGGATGTTCTTGTCACCCCAAACCAAACTCTATTGCTTCTTCCTTCGATATGCAAACAGGCTTTTTGAGAAGGGGAATCTTCTGCTCCAAAGGGAAGAACCTTGTATCCATCTCCTCCACAGAGAACTCAATGGACTACTGAAGGATATCTTCATCCGGTTTTTGAAACCATCATCAGTGTCATCAGTTGCTCTGTTAGAAGTACCTTACTCTGACAGAAATCATCAGAAGAATGATGAGGAACTCATGATTGGGAAGGATGCCAAACTATACATAAGAGAACAGAGAAGCCTAGAGAAGTCAACCTTCACTCTGAGTGAGTCAGACATCCAAGGTTTCTTCAGTGCTGTTCGCTCGTACTATGTGAAAGCCTGTGCTTACATCTTCAAAACCTGGCCTCTAGATGATGAATTAGCAAAGCATGCTCAGGTGCTGGATCTCAAGCAACACCAAGAAGTGGGGTTTGACTCTGTGGAGTTTTTCGTCAAGAAATTCC